CACACACACACACACACACACACACACACACACACACACACACATTAGCAGGCTGGAGGCAGATACACGATGCTGTTGGAGTTTTTCTGAAAATGAAGCACAAATGGAACCCTGCCCCGCCCTCCTCTGTCCTTTCCCTCTAAAAACATCCATCCATCTTCTCCTTCTCTTTGTCACCCCTGTTTAACGCCCCTCCAACCCTGATCTGTCCGTTCGTTTAGCACCTCCATCAAATTGGGTGTGCGCCGCTGCTTCACCCTCCTCCTCCCTCCACCATGAGGGGAGACGGGGGGATGTGTGGGGTGGGTATGGAGATGGGACGAGCAATAAAAAGCGAGGACGGTCTGAGCTGAGCAGCAGCAGCAAGAGAGAGAGAGAGAGAAAGAGAGAGAGAGAGAGAGAGAGAGAGAGAGAGAGAGGAGGGGGGAATAAAGGTGGTGGTGGGAGGGAGGAGAAGCAGCATCTCGCTGCATTTTATGGATTCCATATTGGATGGAGGAGGGGTGTGCTGAAGGAGGGGCGCTGGAGGACCCTGCGAGTCGGAGCAGGGAGGTGGAAGGCAGAGTGAGGGAGACGGGTGGAGGTGAACCTGTGACTCACATCGTCATGGTGCTCAGCGGCGCCTGATGCCCTCAGAGGACACAGGAGGTCCAGGAGACAGAGGAGAGGGAGGTGGGGGGGCGTGATGGACAAGACGTGCCCTCGCTCATCCGCCCGGGCTCCTGCTGCTTTTTCCTCTGGCTCCTCTCCGGCCCTCCTCAGTGAGGCTGCCTGCCTCCCTCCCTGAGCCACGCACATGTGGGATTTGCACCGGCAGCCCATGATGATCTGAAGTGGACTTCGTTCAGCTGCGGGTGTGCTGTGCTCCTCTGCTTTAGGGTGTTCTTCATAAATCTTTAAAGACCTTCACCTTTTCACCACAGCTGCTCCTCACCTTCATAATGACGTGTAATGCAGAACTGGTTTTTTTTTTTTTTTTGGATCTGAATGGAATTTTTTTGTGCCGGTGAAGAGGACGGACTGAGCTACATACGGACACAGCCTGTAAAAATAAGCTCGAGTCACCCCCCAGGATGGAGCTGGGTGTTTTATAAAGAACAAAAGAGCCGATTGGTTGGTCCTGGCAGAGAGCTCAAGGTTGTCATTTTCAAAGGGAAATGAGGAAGAGCGAAGACACCTGTGAGCCGGGTGATGGATGAAACCAAGAGCCCCTCTGCTGTTGAGTCTTCCACAAACAAACTTTCCCTCTCTGAGTTGTTCCGTCTGGATTCATTCATCTGTGTGTCCACTGAAGCCTGAACACATGAGTGGAGGCGGCGCCCTGCAGCAACGCACCACCTATCTCATCTCCCTCACCTTGGTGAAGGTAGAGGCCGTGGAGGAAGATGGAGGGGAGGCCAGAAGAAGCTCTCAGGGGAAGGAGGTGGAGGTCGGACCGGAAGGATGGCCGGAGGAGAAAGTCAAAGTGGAGGTCGAAGGTTCGGCTCCCATCTGGGCTGAGAACGGGGCCGGAGCGTTCGCAGGACCACCACAGAGAGCTCAGGATGCTGGAGCTGAGAGACAGGACGAACCCAAGGGTGGAGAGAGAAGATCCCTCAGCTGTCTGAAAGACAAGAGAGTCTCTGAAGATGCTGCAGGTAAAGATGACGTCTCGGTCCCCTCACCTGCTGAGAAGACAACGATCCAGAAGGCAAAGTCTGCAGACATGGTGGAGGCATCAGTCCCCGTCCCATCGCACATCATGGCATCCACAAAAGAGACAATGGAGCCCAGCAGAACTCCCACCAGGACCAGTCTCCCCCTCCTTCTTGCCGGCCAGCGTCCTGTGAGTCTGCTGAAGTCCCACAGCAGCGTGGCCACCCGGGGCCGCAACTTCAGGGAGGGCCGGGAGCGCAGTCCTACCTCAGCCCAGAGCCTGGATCGCAAGGACTGCCGCATGGCAACACGCTCGCCGGGCCCCTGCAGGGCCTCCTGGGCAGAGGTGAGCCGGCCCGAGGACTGGAGGGACCTGCGGGACGAGGCTGACTTTGGAATGCCGCTGGAGATGGGAGGAGATGTGGCCGCAGTGCTGAGAGACATTCCCAGGAAGGACAGACTGAAAACGGGCTCCACCTCCCTGCCTGCACCTGCCACCCAGGTGCCCAAACCGGCACGCAAAGGCAAGAGCCGTACTCTGGATAACAGTGACCTGAACAGCCTGTCGGAGGACCTGGGGCTCAGCAGAGAGGCCCAGCAGGCCCAGCATGGCCAGAGAGGCTCCGCCAAGGACAGGAAGATGCTCAAGTTCATCAGTGGCATTTTCAACAAGAGCAGCTCAGGAGTGGTGGGGCCGTCCTCCACCACACTGCCCGTCTACATCCAGAGAGATTCCAGCGAGGAGGAAGGTAGGAGGTCACGACCACAGCACCTGTCACCTGCAGCTGAAGGTAGCACTGGTCAGGTCAGGTCAGCTTCAGTGAAACCTGCATTTGGAACCAGGTGACCGGAGGTCAAGTGTTGCTGTCAGGTTTCACAAACCAGGCTGCAGAACCATGTTTCAGGCTGGAAACAGGAATTCATTGCCCACCTCAGCCCACACGGTATCTGCAGCCTCCTCCACATCTATGATTTAATCTACAGGAGTACTTTAAATTTAGGATTAACAGTTTTTTATTAATAGTGAGAATGATGAGTCAGCATTCACCCTATCTTTTTCCTGTTTATTTCATGCTTTCTGTGTAATTTAATCAAATTACGACCTCAAAACAGTGTTTTTTTTAATTATCACTAATAATGTGCTGTGGCTTTTAGTTTTTGTGAGTTTTATCCATTTCAAATTGTTTAATTTCGTTCAAAATAAATTCCAGGTAGAAAAATATCAAGGTTGTTGTTTTTTAAATCTGCTTCAACATATTTGATCTGTTTTTGGTCTCTTATGCTCCTTTTAGCTTTGAGCTGCTGTATAGATATTTTTGTATTCTTTTACTATTTTGACATAGCATTTAGCTACTGTCCTGATCATTCTAGGTTTTAACTAGAGCCTTATTTTTTTTAGCTACTGTTTTGATCATTTTAGATATGGTTATGTTCCTTTTGACTACTGTATGTTCTTTTAGGCTTTTGGCAACGTATTTACTAATTTTAGCTTTGAACTGCTGTTTCACTATTTTTAATTTTCACCTCTGTTTGTGCTAAGTGTAGCTTTTAGCTACTGTCTTACCCATTTAAATGTTTAGCCACTGTTTTATTAGTTTTAGTTTTTAGCTAGTGTCCTGCTCCTTTTAATGTTTAGCCACCCTTTCAATGGTTTCAGTTTTTAGCTGCTGTTTGGCTCATTTTGGCTATGGTTTTCCCTCATTTTATAGATATACTTGTTTTTGGCTATATAGCTACATGTTTACTACTTTAGCTTTGAATTGTTGTTTTGCTGTTTTTGTTTCTCATGCACTTTTTTGATAGTTGTAGCATTTAGCTATGGTCCTGCTCATTTTAGCTTTTAGCTACCATTCTATTGGTTTTAGCTTTTAGCAACTGTCCTGCTCATTTTAACTTCTTGCTACTTTTCCAGGTTTAAGCTTTTAGCTATGTTTTTGTTATTTTAGCTCTTATCAGCTGTTATACTTTTGATCTGGTTGTTTCATCTTAACATTTGTTTCAGGAAATGCTAACTCTGTACTTAATTCTGGACTCATTAATCATTGGCGTGGTTAAAGTCATAATATTACAAGATTAAAGTCATGATATTTCGAGAATAAAATCATAATATTATGAGAATAAAGTCATAATATTATGAGAATAAAGTCATAATATTATGAGAACAAAGTCATGACATTATGAGAATAAAATCATAATATTATGAGAATAAAGTCATAATATTATGAGAATAAAGTCATAATATTACGGGATTAAAGTCACAATATTACAATATTAAAGTCATAATGTAACAAGATTAAAGTCATAATATTACGAGATTAAAGTCATAATATTACGGGATTAAAGTCATAATATTACAAGAATAAAGTCATAATGTTACAAGATTAAAGTCATAATATTACGAGAATAAAGTCATAATATTACAAGATTAAAGTCATATTACAAGAAAATGTCATAATATTCTAGCCATTACATGTAAAATCATGCAGTTACTGCATTAAAATGAGGAATGTAGAGCCACTTGTCAAGTTGTTTTTTAATATTGCTTAAAAATAAATAGTTAATATTTTAGCACATTAGCATCAAATTATCAGTAGCAGGACTTGGAAATTATGCAAACAACAATAAACTAAAGCCATATTGTAATTAATGGATGCATTGACAGATTTAGCCACATAGCTAATTTGGATGAAAGCATATTAATCTAACAGTGACCCAGGTCATCACAGACTACTTTATAAACACAGACAGGCTGTACACAGGAGTGAGGAAAATAAGGAGGAAATGAGGAACAGAAAATGGACACGTCATGTAAGATTATGACTTTAATTTAGTAAAATTATGACTTTAATCTTGTAATATTACAACTTTAATCTTGTATATTACAACTTCAATCTCGTAATATTATAACTTTAATCCGTAATATTACAACTTAATTCTCATAATACTAATAAAAAATAATAATCTTGTTGTGTGGCCCTAACACTCCGTCGTACATTAGAACACTAGCAGCAGTATTTTGGATCATCTGAAGACTTCTTAAAGAGTATTTTTTAATGGACATTTAGCAGAATTTGAAACTAAAATTATTATAAAAGGAGAAATTGAGTTGAAGGCATTTTGGTCAAACCATGAAAATAACATCAGTTTTATGTGATGATTTATTAGCAGTTGGAGTTTGTGTTGTGAGTAACTGTCAGCYAGTACCACATCAGTCTTTAGCTCAGTGTCTTTAACGTTTTTTTTTTATTTTTCCCATTTTTGTGTTTTCTAATGTTAGTCAGCTGTAGCGGCCATCTTGAATCGAGTCCGTCAGCTGTAGACGCACATCCAATAATTACTAACTATAAAGTTACCATTCAGTGGTTCATGAGATATTTTGCAGACATGAACACACATTTATGAGCTTTTAATTTAAATATATTTTAAAAAGAGGGAGTTGTCATAGATTTCTGAGCTGATCCCCGTTGTCTCAACGTCCTTCCAACACCTCTGCCGCTGTGAGCGCAGCCCCTCTATCTGTGCACAGGCATGCATTTGAAATGAGCCAGGCTGGTGCTGGGTGGGGTTGAGCTCTTTAAAAAGCAGAAAACGTTCACAGGCTGTAACACCGTCACCCGTCTGACCAACACTTCCCTGCTGGAAACTGGTGAGGTTCTTTAATCTGCGCCAATAGAATCCTCTTGGACAGACTTAATCTGATTCCCCTCAGAGCGTGGGCAGATTTCACACCACCGGAGGGGCAATCAGCACACACACACACACACACACACACACACACACACACACACA